TTTGGCAGACCGTATAATATATGTCCATATAATACTGGATTTGGTTTTAGTTCAATTAAAAAACATTTGAAGTCACTAGAGTACAAACATTTAATGTGTGCAACACTTTTTACTATTAACTACAAAATAGATTAGCTAGCCTGAGTATCAGGCTCTCTCGAAGGGGTTTGGGGCGGAGCGAGAAAGGAGAGAGAGAGCCTGACACAATCTACCCTGGTCCCAGAGGTTTGATATTTTCTCTCTTCGGCATAAAAGCTGCGACTTTTAAAATCACGTACTAGATAAATTTTGATATATAACCGCCACATCGAGAAATCAAGCAAAACGGAACAGCTTTTAATCGGCTTAAATTTATTGTCACGCGTCACGCATTGCAAGGAGGCAGAACAGCTCTTGATAGAAGATTGTGTCACCCTAAAACCCTTGGAGAGAGCCTGATACTCAGGCTATAGATTAGCATAATTTAGCAGTATTTAGTGGTATTTATGTTGCACAGTTTTAGTGTTTGTACTCTAATTTGTATTACACAGTTGATAGTTTAAAAATACACTGTTAGTCCAGGGGCATACAGARGGAATTCTTCATTACTATAATCACTTCTTAACTTCACAACTGTGAAGTCAAATGTATGCAAAATGTCATTGGCATTGTTTTGGATTCACTAGAGTGATCGCACTTAAACCGTGCAACTGTACAAGATATAAGTAACACTAATTTGTACTAAAGTGGACCTGAAGCAAGAGGGTATTGAATGCTTCATTTGTATCAATTCAATTTAATTAGCATACCACATGCACAATTTACTGAATATAACTAATATCACTGTTTAGTTTGTACAGTTGCACGGTTTCAGTGCAATTACTCTACGAACATGTTGAACTATCCTAAAGAATGCAATTTCATCTTGCTTCCTTTGATTAGTACAATCAGCATTTTGCCTTTGCTGGTAATGCGAGTCTTGTTAATAATTAATTCTTTTTATGTTTTAATTGCTTGAATTGAAATACACTAATTACACAACACTATAAGCACATTGTTTTATTTCCTTCATGATAAAGTTCTGATATTTGTTTGTTTTTCCTTGCATGAAAAGCAGTTGCTACACCAAGCACGCATTGTACCCCCTCCCCAATAAAATTTTACTACACTTAAAAGCGAGCATTCAATAAAGACATCAATTTTCAACAGAGAACGTTTAATGCAATATCATTATTATAAAATAACATACAATGATGAACCAAAGCTAATGTATAATTATAAAATGAGATTTGAACCATTTAACCTCTTCGAGAACACAAGAAGTATCATAATACATAATGAGTTGTCAGCCTGATTTACGTGTACATGATGCAAATATGCATAATAAATGGTACATTATGTTATTTATTTTATTTAGGAAAATCTTATACAGACTAAAAATCTACAAAACACCTTTGGCAGGATGTAACTCAAGGAACCAATTTAACATTTCAYCAWAGTTAAACTGAACGAAACCAATTGAACAAGGTTTAAAACGTGGAAGAATGTTGCAAAATGCAGAATAGAAGCCAGACAGTAACATGGGGAATGCGAATATGATACTTCGGTTTTTTTTATTCAAACCTTTAAGTTATAAAGTAATAAAAATCAACTGATGCATTATTAGGCCATTACAGCAAGGCCAATGTTCGTCCTATTTCAGACCCCTCAATATAATTGTTTTCCATCARCACTTTAGAAGACACCTTGATATCGATGGCAGAAAAAAACAAAATTCTACTCCTTATGTAGAAAAGTCTGAAATGGGATGAAAAACATTGCTCCAAGCCAAGGAGGCTGAGGGTATTTAAAATGGATAGTATCATTAATGATGAGCAYGTTAGCAATCAATAGCAAAAAGCAATGTTGTCAGAAACTGTTTGTGACCATACCTATTTTTTGCAATATTTCTTATTTCATGCCATTTCTGTTTCTTTTTTGAGGGTTTTGTTTCTTTTATCAAAGCAGCCATAACAACAAAGCAAATAAACAGAAATGGCTTGAAATGAAAACATCACAGATTCACAGTTAMTAATTATCTGAAGCTTAAAAGCACAAACATTATCCTCTTGGATTGTCTTTAAATGAGCCATAATATTATAGGTAAAGATTTCACTGTCCTTTRTATGTAAATGTGGTCAATTACTAGAGAGCCAATCAAAATTATGAATTGAAAATAATATTTAACAAAGACTTAAGAAGCTTGACTAATATGCCGCTGCCAGGAAATCAGACAAGAAGAAAACAAAGAAAACTTCAGCAAAAAAGATTTCATATATTCTGAAAAAATAACACCTTTTAACAGCAAGTTGGGAACTGAATAAAAGGCAACAAAACTGATAACTAATATTTTCCTGTAATGATTCATAATAGTATTATAAAGAAACAGTTACTTTCAAGTCATAATTTGACTGTTTCCCCAATATGTAGAAGACCACAGCTACAGAGAAATGACAGCATGTGCCAACTGGAACATTTCTTTGATAGTACAGTACAGTTACAGGAACTCAGAGAGACATTTTCTCAAACAGCTACAAAGTTAGAGAGACTGGTACAGAGGCCATGAGAACAATTTCTACCAGTCACGATCGCCTTAACAAACAAACAGAACATYGGGTTGTTAGGACAAGTGTGCAATGCATTAMTGGGAAGAATGGCTGCCATAACTGGAAGGCTCAATATTGATCTTCARKAGTYATTCAGATATGTTCACAAATCGACCAAGTATGGATCAGAAACTGAGCTTTATAACACTAGCTAAATCTTCTAAAATGGATATCTCATGTATTTTCCACGGGATGGATTAATTCTAGTTATAAAAGATGAAGATTTTCATTCAAGTTCCACATGGGATGACAAAACTACAAAGGACTTAGTCCATGTAAAACATCCGTGAGAAGTGTACTTCACTCCCTGCTTCAAATACAGATAAATAATATATTTACTGTCAGTGTTAAAAATGGATTCAAAAATACCACTCATGATGAGGATGGCTTCTTGCAACATAAGAGAACAAGAAGAAGAAATATTGAGCACTTTTCGGTCATGTATTTGAGGGCAAGGTGTAGATATTCTACGCTCATTAAACAAACACGACAATTATGATAATCCTGCAAGGAAAATGTTATTAGTAAGACCAACAACATAAGTTACAATAACATTAAATCACTTTTTGTCAGAGTAACAATTGAAACTAAATGTAAAAAAAATTATTACAGAATTATGCTGCAAATACAAGTAGACTGCATTTAGACTTTATGTGTAAAACATACGTAACTCATTCATACTAATTTGTTGCGACACCCAATTTCGTAAAATCAGGCATAATATATTGCCAGTATGAATTTTTATGAATGTTTTTGCCAAATAATTGCTTTACTACTCAGGGTTCGTACAGATTTTTACATACAAAATTCAAGGACTTTTTAAGGAATAAATTTCAATTTTCAAGGACACCAATTACAAAGAGAAAGATACAGTTAATAAACTTACTAGTCCTGTGTCTTACCAAACAGAACAATAAAAACATTGTAGTCAACTTTGTTTAAGAACTTTATCTCTTGGAACATATTTTTCTCAATCTCTATTAATTCCTTTACCACCGTATTGCACAATAGTACAACAGACATTACCAAAAGGGTTGAAATATTATCAATTTGCTTCAAAGCTTGGCAAAATTGATCTCTAAAACATTACTTCACAACAACCAAGACTGATTCAAGGACTAAATTATCATTTTCAAGGACCTTTCCTCCAAATTCAAGGACTTTTCAAGGAAAATTTGCATTTAAGGACTTTTCAAGGACCTAGGTCCAAAATCAAGGACTTTTCAAGACTGTACGAACCCTGCTACTACTCACAATCCTAAAATAGTAAATGTTTTTTTGAAATTTAGTAGAATCTATTAATTTACAAAAATACTAAATGCACCCTACATGTACATGTATAGACTAATATATCATATATATTTTTTCCAAACACTGTGGAAATATTACTACAAGTGAATACAAAATCATTTAAAAAGACATACCTGAATAATTACTGTCGTAGTAACTTCCACCACCACCACCACCACTACTATAACTCCCTCCACCGCCATACCCGCCACCACCACTACCACCATACCTACCACCACCGCCACCTCTACGACCACCACCACCATCATACCGCCGATCATTATAACCTCTTCCTCGACCACCACCACGGCCTCTAAATCCTCCACCACCTCCACTTCTAAAACCACCACCACCACCACCTTCTCTTCTACTGTTTGCCACAGAGACTTTTAGAGTGCGATCATTACATTCCTAGAATGGAAGAAATATTGAATGAAAATAATTGACTTTGGAAGAATTCACTAGTTTTGTGTCTTAATTACATCCATATTGAAATCACAAGCGAATCCAGCAATCTGATTGGTTCTTAGCAGGTTRATTTCAGCCTAAATYGCACCATTTTGAACTCTTAATCACATTCCTTTGAGAAGCAAATAGTGTATTTGTATGAATTAATGAAATTATATTCTGTTCAATGTGTTAGATTTCAAAATGGATAWRCCGCTATGCGGTTGTGCGATTTTGAATCACRMGTTTGATTTTGAAACCAAATTGCACTTCACTCAGTTCAATTACCATTATAGATCTAAAGATTTTGTTAGTTAATCATCCATTGATGAAGGATTTATCAGAGGGATGGATGGTAGTGTATTCACCGCTCACACAAATGCCCAATGATGTTATAAGTCAAGCTAAGGTGTCTTTAGTAAACAAAAACAGTTTTTGRCCGATAAAAAAAATATATAACACAACATAATGAMGATCTGATGTTGTGAAATTATTTGTCAGAGTGGAAGAAAATGATCAACTGAAATTCCATAAGCTTTTAATCTATGTACAGTACATTGATGATCTTTCAGTTACAACTCATAGACATAGAGTAATTCTATATGTCCACAAATTTTGTTTAAATTATAAATGATATTTATAATATGATAAGACTTAAATTCAAGGGACTCACATATCCATTCATTTCATCGCACGCATCTTTGACATCATCTTGCGAGTTTAAAACAACAAATCCAAATCCTTTGGATCTTCCAGTGTCTCTGTCTGTGATAACATCAGCTGAAAAAAAATAATAACATGAACAGATTGAAAAAAAAAGTCCGGTCATCCGGACATCAGTCCGGTCCAGTAATACATATTTCTTTTTCTCTTGATGCCTTGTAAATTCTTTAAAAAAAATACGTTTTGTCCAACTTTAACTCCATTTAACAACATATCATTGAATATAATTACACGTTTTTGTCATTTAAGATGATGTTTCAGGAAGTTACGCCGAAAAACCCTGCATTTCAAGAAAGGTAMGTAATCCTTTGTTCACGAAGCATCAAATTTTGTCAAAATGCCAAAGAAGATTCGAAGACRAAAATTCAATGTTTGAAGCATATGATATCATTTGACTCACATTTAAACTTTAAACTAACGAAACCAAGCTTCATTTACGGCAGATTATTCATTTTTCAATGRATAAAAGGCCAAAGATTCTGTTTGATCAAGAAGCCATAACCGTTGGCAAACTGAAGCACGCGGTTTTCATCTCATCGTCAAATTCACCAATTCAGTACAAGAACTTCCTAAAATCCTCCTTACTTACCTGAAACAGGTTTAAACTTTTGAAATAAGTCTGCAAGTTCGTCATTACCGATGGAGTAGGGAAGATTTCCGACATAAATTTTATGCTCGTTTTCAGCCATTTTGCGTTTGTGGAGGACTCCCGCGTGTAAGTTAATCAGCGGAACACTCTCGACATCACGTGATTTGGAAAGACATGCGTAGTTGGCAACCTCGTTCCCAGGGCTACTCTACGCCCATTTTGAAAAAAGCGAGCAGAGTAGCCCTGGGAACGCGTAGTTGGGTAGCCTGTGTTAAGCGCTGTCCGCCAACTCGGGCTATATGGGTTATTTTTTCACTCTAATTTGTTCAATATTTCTTCATAAAWTCAACTCAATCGACATACATCCCTCAATATATTAAAGGACATGGTCCACCAGCATCTCTTTCGATCTTTTGCTCATTTTTGAAAATAAAAAAATAAATCGCAAATATATAAGCTCAAAGTATGCTCTATCAATGAATACACTGTAAAATTCGACCTTTAAACCGATGGATGGAAACRGATTGCAAATAGATATTCTAAGTCTTCCCATTTTCCATGTGAAGAATCTAAAGCACAGCCACATTGAATGCTGGTAGCCATGTCCCTTTAAACTCTACACTGGGTTAACTTTTTCTTCTAGAAACAYAGGAATTCCAGAAAAGCACATTCTCCAAAAACAAAACAAATGCCTAATCTGAAGGCAATAAAACCAGAAAAAGATATCCATGCAGACTAAGAACAGTGGATGTTATCATGATTTAAACTTGTACTCTCACCTGATATGGGAAGTTGATAACTTTCCTGATTACGTAAGCAGAACTGGTGCCGTCTAATTTGGCCTTTAGAAAAGCAAGGCTTTATTTTCCATATACAGGGTTTGTGCAAAATTTTCACTACAAAATTCCAGGACTTTTAAGTGCCATGGAATACATTAGCATATAGCGTAAAAATGCCTTTTTCAAGGAGTATTTTTGAAGATATTTTTAGATGTTTGCAGATGTTTCAAGTGGTAATTTTTTAAAATAGCCAAATTTCAATCCAAAAGCTAACTATCAAGATGTCAATTTATCAGATTCAAGTTTCAGCGATTTTCCCAATTTTCAAGGACTTTCAACCGGCCTTGAAAACGACTTTTAAGGAGTAGCACAAACCCTGCATATAAATAGAGCATTTCAGGAAATACAACAGTTTGCTTATTCTGAATCCTGCAATTTTGCAGTCAATCACATCATTGCACTCTTGAAACCACAAAACACTTCTCCCCACCTCCAGAAAAGCAATGGTATCACTTCTAGTCATTAAGGAGCAGTTATTTTTTTGCATCAATATCAATAATAACACACAAACAATTGTACAACATTTTCGCATCAAAATCGGTTTAATAATGAGATAATACAGTTTTGAAACAACAATAAAAAAGATGGCAACCCATTTATTACTGACAACAAGGCTTTTTACAATAAAAGTATGAAGTTCTCTTAGGATTATGAACCAAAGGCATTGACTGAAGTCTTTGCACAAAAAATAAATACTTGGTCTTTCCTGAGAAAATACCAAGACTACAATGCATGGGTAGAAAGAAAACAAACAAATTAGTAAAAAAAAAACAATATTTAAATTATGTTTAAAAAAATCATATAAATTCAACTATAGTAACTTGGACACTGAGCACTTTTAACTTTCACATCGAACGTGGTCATTTGGAACTTTTGGACATGTGGCACTTTTAGGACAATTGGAACTTTCCGGACAATTGGACTTTACGGACATTTGGACTTTACGGACAACTTTATGGACATTTGGACTTTACGGACAACTTTATGGACATTTGGAACTTGTTATCGTAACAGGAACACAGAGATAGATATACAGAGATGTATTCAAACGGCTACAAATGCTACTTTGACTGGTACAGAGGCCATGAGAACAATTTCTACCAGTCACGATTGCCTTAACAAATAAACAGAACATTGGGTTGTTAGGACTAGTGTGCAATGCATTACTGGGAAGAACGGCTGCCATAACTGGAAGGCTCAATATTGATCTTCAGGAGTTATTCAGATATGTTCACAAACTGACCACGAAGGAATTAAAGCAATACAAAACCCAAAACCCAAGAAGATGCCTGTACGAAGGTCATTGCAGACTTTTCAGATCATTGTCCACAGTAAGTGAGCAGACTCTGAAGGCTTAATCTTTTTTTAATGAGAATTGTCRAAAAAAACTACCAAGCGTGATGAAGATGGCTTCTTGCAACATAAGAGAACAAGGMGAAGTAATATTGAGCACTTTTCGGTCATGTATTTTGAGGGCAAGGATCAGAGTCTACGGTCATTGCACAAATAAAGGCACRATATATAAATCCTGGAAAAAAAACTTCACTTAAAATTAGTTCAAATAAAAGAGAAAAAAAAAACCCTGATGCAATCATTTCTGGGCCTAATGATAATTATTAAACTGAAATCTGTTCATAGTGCCACCCTTACCTCTTAAGATAACCCTATATTATCAAAGAAGCAAAGAAAAGAACAATAAAAAGAGCTGGATTGTGTATTCCTCCACTTGAATAATTATAATTTATTAACTTATGAAGCAATCTCTGACTTTTCAAAGAGCAAACTTTTACCAGAGCTCTTTGTGTGGACACACTTTATTCAAACAGCTTGAAATTCAGTGCTTCAGATATTCAACAGAAAAGCTTGCCATTGTTGGAACTAGGACACAAAGCCCAAAAGCTAAGGAAATCATCCAACGTCTGTGCCCCAAAAGGCAGACTGTTGGCACTTTTTTTTCTCTTGGTCATTGTGTGAGCTACAGTATTATTTCTATGTCTGTGTTCAGTTAAATACACAGTTTCTTTCACTGTCAATGGTTTGCAGCTGAACAAGAGAAAAATATACTTCTGACAATACCAATATACCACTAAAACTTACCTGAGTAATTGTCGTACCCACCACCGCTGCCACCATAACCACCACTACCACCACCGCCGTAGCCACCACCACCACTACTATAACCGCCTCCACCTCCATAACCACCACCACCACCTCCATAACCACCACCACCTCCATACCTACCACCACCACCACCACCTTCGTATCTACCACCACCACCACCACCTCTACGATATCCACCACCACCATCATATCTCCTCTGTCCATAACCTCTTCCCCGTCCACCACCGCCGCCACTTCTAAAGTCATCTCTTCTTCGTCCACCTCCACCTCCGCCACCGCCTTCCTTGCTCTTGGCTTTAGCTACTTTGATTTTTCTGTTTTCAACTTCCTGAAAAACAT